TTTATTTATTTGAGAGAGAGAGAGAGTGCGTGCGCACGCATGGGGGCGGGGAGGGTCAGAGGAAGAAGCAGACTCCCTGCAGAGCAGGGAGCCCGACCCGGGACTCCAGGATCATGACCTGAGCCAAAGGCAGTTGCTTAACCAACTGAGCCACCCAGGTGCCCTACCCCAGAATTTCTGATTCACTAGATCTGAGATAGAGTCTGAAAATCTCTATTTCTGAAAAGTTGCCAAGTGATGCCCGTGTACCACATTTGAGATGAATGTGACCACACTGAGAACCACTGCTGTAGCTTTGTTTCTGTTGATTTGGATGTTTTCACTTATCATGATGTTTTTAAGATCCATCCAGGTTGCTGCCTCTCAGTCATTGCTTTCTGCCTGCTGTATAGTATTCCAGAGTATACATCTATGACATTTTAGTTATTTATTCTCAACGTTGGACACCTAGGTTGCCAGCAGTTTCTTTCTATAGTGAACGTTGCTATGATGAATATTCTTATATAAATCCACTGATGTTCCCATGTTTTAGTTTCTCTGTGGTTTATGAACAAGAGTGGAATTGCCAAGGAAACGGGTATATTACCTTCATTCTTGAACTGACAATCACAGGTTCCTCTTCAGCATAGCTGTACCAATCTATATGCCTACCTGTAGCACCTAAGAGTTCATATTTCCTTACAGCCCTCTCTCCAGAACTTGGTTTTATCTCATTTTCTAATATTTACCAAATGATGGGTCTAAAATAGTATGTTATTGTTTCTATTGGTATTTCTCCAATTACTAATGAAATTGAGCATCTCCTCATATGTTAGCCATTCCACTCTTACAATCACTGTTAGGAGTTTCTGTATGACGTTTAAGATATAGATTAGGCATTTACAAGCATATTTCCATATCTGTTTTTAAAAAGTAAATGTACTTGTCAATGTGTATTGCCCTTTAAGTGCTGCTTTATCTGGGTCCCACAGATTTTGATATGTATGGTTTTTATTATCATTTAGTATTTTCTATTTTAAGAATTCTCTTTAACCCTAGGACAATGAAGTAGTATGTTTTTTGTTTCCAGTCATGTGGGATTTTTTTTTTTAGTGTTAGTATTTTGTTACTGATTCTATTTAATCTAATTTAATTAGAGAACATAACCTGAATGATATTCATTCCTTGGAATTTTTTGAGACTCCCTTTCTGATGAGGTACCTGGTAGATTTTTGTGACTTTTTTTTTTAAGTAATCTCTATACCCAACATGGGGCTTGAACTCACAACCCCAAGATCAAGAGTTGCATGTTCTACCAGCTGAGCCAGCCATATGCCCCTTTGTGGCTATCTTGTATATACTTGAAAATAATGCATTCTCTGTTGAACTGTTCCCTGTAACTCTCATTATTTTTGTCTGCTTGAACTAGGAGTTACTTTTGAGTGTGTCAAAATTGCCAACTCAGTTATTGATTATCTGATTCTTACCATAGTCCTGTCAATTGTTGCTTGTGTTTTGAGACTGTGTGTGAGATATGTATATTTTATGATTAGTATATATGATCGATCATTATTTGCAGGTTCTGTATTTGCATATATACTTTCCTGCTAAAATTGATTTGTAGTCCCAAAATCAATACACATAGTGATTTTTTTTTTTAAAGATTTTATTTATTTGACAGAGAGAGACACAGCGAGAGAGGGAACACAAGCAGGGTGAGTGGGAGAGGGAGAAGCAGGCTTCCCACAGAGCAGGGAGTCCGATGTGGGGTTTGATCCCAGGACCCTGGGCTCATGACCTGAGCCGAAGACAGACGCTCAATGACTGAGCCACCCAGGCGCCCCAATACACATAGTGATTTTGAGGTCGTAGGCCCTCTCAGCAGGAGCTAGGAAATATATATAAGCATACTAACCTGCACATGTACCCACATTTTTATTTGTTTCTGTATCTATCTGTATATACCCTAAAAAGTTAAGTTTTGATTCCAGTCCAACATCACAAGATTCAGTCTAGTCTTCCTCCTTTCCTACTCCCATTATCTATAATACATTCACTTGTCTGTTCAATCCTATTATACCCATAAAATACATATATAGCAGCCAATTCATACTGTGAAAACATATTGTGTTTGTGTACATTTCTCTATGTCTTTAGCCTTGTAGTGTGCAGTCAAAATGCTATTTTCCAAAGTTACTTGGGTTAGTTCTTTTTTCCCCATACCCTTCTTTGTTGCTTTGTTATCTATTTATAATACAGTTAGGTTTATTACTGTTGGTATTCTATTTGGGGTTTCTTTCACATGCTGGTTGATTTAATTATTTATTTTGAGGGGCATGTATAAAACATTACTGTTGTTCTAGAAGTCAAAGCTATCCAAAAGGTTATCCTTTGAGAAGTGTTGCTCCCTCCTCAACCCCCGTTAACTGTTCCCGGTGCCCCCTTCTTTCCACCCCTTTCCTTTGTGCCCATTGTAGGTAACTTTAGTTTCTCATTTATCCTTCCTATATTTCTTCTGCACAAATGAGTAAATACATGTGTATTTCTTACTTCCCTTCTTTATTACAGAAACTAGCATACTCTTTTGCACTTTGCTTTTTTCACTTCACAGTATATTCTGAAAATTGTTCCAATCAGTTTATAGAGATCTTTCTCTTTTTTTTTTTTTCATAGCTTTATGGTACTTTATTGTGTGAGTGTGTCATAATTTGCTCAGCCTTCTGTCCTATGTATGGTCGTTAAGGTTGTTTCCAAAATTTTGCTGTTACAAGCAATACTGCAACTTTGTGCATATGATTTTCTAATTGTTGGAGGTGTATCTTCAGGGTAGATCAAAAGTTAAATGAATATGTAGTTTTATCAGTTTCTGCCAAATTTTTTTTACTGTACAAATTATTTGTATATAGTCAAATTTATCCATCTTTTTTTTAAAAAGATTTTATTTATTTGAGAGAGGGAGAGAGACTGAGCGGTGGGGAGGGGCAGAGGGAGAGAGAAGCAGGCTCCCCGCTGAGCAGGGAGCCTGATGTGGGGCTGGATCCCAAGACCTGGAGATCATGACCTGAGTCGAAGGCAGACATGCTTAACCGACTGAGCCACCCCGGCACTCCTCACTATTCTTTCTTACAGAACTTACATGGTTTCATTTTGATACAGTTAGCTCCCTTGTTCATTTGTCATTTATTATGTGTTATGTAGGTTATGGATCTGATTTTTTTTGAAATGGCACCAGTTGTCCCAGAGACATTTATTAAGAAGTCCATCATTGGGATGCTTGGGTGACTCAGTCGGTTAAGTGGCTGCCTTTGGCTCAGGTCATGATCTCAGGGTTCTGGGATCGAGCCCCACATCGGGCTCCCTGCTCAGTGGGGAGCCTGCTTCTCCCTCTCCTTCTGCCTGCTGCTCTACTTGTGCTCTCTCTCTCTCTGTGTCAAATAAATAAATAAAATCTTAAAAAAAAAAAGTCCATCATTAGGAGCACCTAGTGGCTCAGTCAGTTAAGCATCTGACCTCAGCTCTGGTCATGCTCTCAGGGTCATGGGATTGTGGGACAGTGTGGAGCCCCACATTGGGCTCCCTGCTCGATAGGGAGTTGGCTTGTCCCTCTGCCCCCTCCCCTGCTTGTGTGCACGTGTGCACTCTCTCTCTCAAATAAATAAATAAAATCTTAAAAAAAAAAGGAAGTCCATTATTACTCCTAGTGATTTAGGATGCTACCTTTCTTATATACCAAAATTCTGTATGTACTTGAATGAATTTCTGAACTAGTTTATTCCACTGGTATATTTATCTATATATGTGCCAGTACTACTGTTTTAATTATAGAAGCTTTATAGTATCTTTTAATGTCTAGTAGGACTAGTTCCCCCTCCCCATATAGTTCTCTTTTTTCAGTGTTTTTTTCTTGGCTGTTTCCTGGCTGTTCTTGCATGTTTATTTTTCCATAGAAATTTTAGTATCAACTTGTCTAACTCCATAAAATAGCTTGTTGGTATTTTTATTGGAATTGCAATGATTTTATAAATTAGGAAGAACTAATGCTGAATCATCCTATCTAAGAACAAGGAGTGTTTTCCATTTGTTCTTGCCTACTTTTGTGTCTTTCAGGAGGGTTTTAAATTTTTCTTGGTATTAATTTTGCACATTTCTTACTAAATTTATTCCTATATGCTTAATCTTCTTTGATGCTGCTATAAATGGAGTTTTCTCTACCATGTGTCCTATTTATTGTTTGTGCATATGAAGGCTTTTGATTTTGAATATTAATTTTATATCCTGCCATTTTACTGAGTTCTTTTATTATTTGAGTTAGTTTTATCATTGATTTTTTTTCCTAGGGTTTTTCAGATATACTATTATTATATCATTTTCTTTTTTTTTTTTTTAAAGATTTTATTTAATTGACAGAGAGACAGAGCGAGAGAGGGAACACAAGCAGGGGGAGTGGGAGAGGGAGAAGCAGGTTTCCCGCGGAGCAGGGAGCCTGATGTGGGGCTCGATCCCAGGACTCTGGGATCCTGACCTGAGCCGAAGGCAGACACTTAACGACTGAGCCACCCACGGGCCCCCTTTACCCATTCTTAAACCTCTAATTAATTTCTCTTGTCTAATCAATTAGCTAATACCTCTAGTACAGTGTTGAATAGTAGCAGAGATAGTGGATATCCTTGCCTCGTTCCTTATTTTAGTGGAAATGTTTCTGGTGTTTCTTTATTAAATAAAACAGATTTTAGAACTAAGGGGTATGTGTGTATATATGTGGGTGGCTTTGTCACAGAGTGCTAGATATTTGGATAGAACATGGGAATAAAAATTAAGGAGAGGTATGTATGAAGCCTCCTTACTGTCTGTCAGATTCTAGGGCAACAGCATGTCACATTCAAAAAGCTAGAAGGTTTCATATTTCAATTGGGAATAGCAATGAGATATGGCATTATAGCAAGTCATTTGAATTCCTATAAATTGTCTTTATGTGTTATCATGGTCACATATAAAAATTTATCCTTATATATGTTTTACAGTGTGTGCTGTTTTTATGGAGTTTAAAGATTAATCATCCCAAAACAGTGTTTTTGCTTCGAGGAAATCATGAATGCAGACATCTTACAGAATATTTCACCTTCAAACAGGAATGTAAGTATAATCACTTTTCCAGAACTTTTTTTTTTTTAAAGTAAACTCTGCCCCTAATGTGGGGCTTGAACTTATAGCTCTGAGATCAAGTCATATGCTCTACTGACTGAGCCAGCCAGGCACTTCCATTACTTTTTTAGTTACCCTGTTGTCAGTCCCACAATGAATCAAACATAAACAGAAAAGAAACTAATGGAACTCAAATGCTTCCTGTTGTTTATTTTCTGGTAAGAACCAAGATTCTACCTTTTAAGACATTTATTTTGAAAATAACTATTGTGGTTTCCCCCTTTGTATATTAAAGTAATACATTTGGGGTATTTGAAAACATAGAAAAGTTCAAAGAAGATAAAAGTTGTCAAAAAAAAAAAAAGTTGTCCATAGTCACATCACTTAAAAATAACTATTATCTCACTATTTGAGAGATAGTCTTCTTTTCTGTATATATAAAAGTCTATCAGGAAAAAAGAAGAAAAGAAAAAAAGAAGGGGGGAAAAAAAAGCCTATCATGAAATAGTTCAAATGCATATATATCTGTACATATTTTCAAAATAAAATTGGGCTATTATATGCACTGCTTAATAAATTGCTCTTTTCACTTTATGTAATAACATTTTTCTGTACCGTTAAATATTTTTGAACATGATTTTATTTATTTATTTATTTATTTTAAAGATTTTATTTATTTATTTGAGAGAGAGAATGAGATAGAGA